CGAACTAGGCTTAGTCCTCGTAAAATGAGGTTTACCTAGTTCGAACTAAGCGCTCCGCTAGTTCGAATTAAGTTCAAACTAGCGGAGCGCTAGTGTAGCGCCTGTGAAAGTTAATTCGAACTTACGTCCGTTAGTTCGAATTAACTTTGTAGTGTAGACATACCCAGGGTGTCATAAGGAGGAGGGAGAAAACTTGTTCATCTTGGCCTCTGAGGACAAGACAAGAAGCAATGGGCATAAACAAGGGAGGTTTAGGTTGGACATTAGGAAAAACTTCCTACCTGTCAGGGTGGTGAGACACTGGAATAAATTGCCCAGGGAGGTTGTGGAATCTCCTTCTCTGGAGAGATTTAAGAGCAGGTTAGAGAAATGTCTCTCAGGGATGGTCTAGACAGTATTTGGTCCTGCCGGGAGGGCAGGGGGCTGGACTCGATGACTCTCGAGGTCCCTTCCAGTCCTAGTGTTCTATGATTCTATGATACGGTGCCCTCCCTAGGCACCAACTCCACTCTCACATGGTGTTCAGGAGCGCATCAGTGGACACAGCTTTGTGCGGCTCCAACACAGCTGGCCCTGCTGCAAGGAGCCTGCAGGCTAGTTCAGACAAATCAAAACCACTGGTCCTAGTTCTAGTGCAGGGCGAGGTGCTGATGCCCACCGGCTACAGCAATGCTACCCCGAGGGAGCGGTTGGAAGGGATATAGGCTTGGTGGATGCTGGGGCAGAGAAGGCTGCTCCTAGCTTGGGGGGCAGCACGAGGGAGGGAGCAAAGGGGCCGATTCATTCATATGACAACTACTCTAGGGGGTCCCCGCTATAAGTCGCCCTGGTATTCATCCGTTCCACACTCAAGTCAGTGATGTTTATAGGAACTGACGTGTCGTAAGTCCTTCCATTTCCCTCTATGAGTCGTGCAAAACGCTCCCCCCAATTTACTTAAATGGACGTCAGCCGCGGGGAAAAGATGCCCTGCTTGAAGTTGTTTTGCTACAAGTCCCAGTTTTTTGGAACGTATCTTGAACTTACAGCAAGTACCCCCCTGTACTTGCTGGTGAAGGGAAGCCATAGGGAGGGCTAGGCAGGAACCTACGGAGGAAGTGAGAGGGGGCACAGGTGTGTAGGAGCAGAGCCCTGAGGGTGAGGATAAAGATCTGTGACTGAATGCAAAAGGAAAGACGCCCCTCCAGAGGCTGGGAAGGGGTGATCAGAGCAGCTGGAAAGAAGCAGCACCCGTGGGCAAGGTGGGAGGAGAACGGGTGAGGTACAGCAGGCCAGAGAGGAGATGCTGTAAACAGAGAGAGGCAGAAGGAGCATCCCCAGCCGCAGAACCCTCCCCCAGGCCAAACGCCCATCCACTTCCGAGGCAGCGGCATGTGTACATCCACCGCAGGATCGGGCCTGGGTGGGCCAGCTCAGGAGAGTGTCAGTCTCGGGCCAGCAAAGGGGAATGTTTCTGAAGGAAAATATGTATTTGTTTAACTTCCACCCCCATAAGCCTTCCCCCACACACGTGGAAATGAGGTTTTCCTACTGTGACGAAGTGGGGATTGCATTCGCTCTCGTCCCTTTATTCTGTTGCATGCGATTTCTGCTGAGCTGTAGTAACCGCGTGTGTGTGCCTCAGTTTCCCTGGAGACCTGCACCACTACCTAGGTGGGGATGGGAATTTTGGAGTGTCTCCCTCACGTACACAAAGGCTGAGCCTGGGAGGGGGTGTGACCGGGGGTGCGCTATGCAAATTGCGTTGCTTATTTCAAGGTAATTTTCAAATAGCTTATTTCCAAATTTGGAGCTGTCTACACAGCGCCAAGCTTCGAAATAACCCGCTGTTCCGAAACGTCCCTTAGCCCTCGTGCAATGCGGTTACAGGGACGTTGGAATAGCAAGCCCCTTGTATTTCAATAACCGGGCTTGCTCTTAAGGTGCGGAACGGCTATTTGGGTAGCGGCGGTATCCCAAAATAACTCCGCAGTATAGACATAGCCCAGGTGACATCTTTTGCCCAGGAAGCTGGACAGGGGCCAGGAGTGGGGCTGGCTTCTGAGTGAGTGGGCTGTCTTGCTGGCTTGGGGTGCAGGGCCCGGGGACTCCCCGCACCTCTGGCACCTACCTTCAGGAATTGTACATTGATCCACCTGCTTGCACTGAAAGCTGCTACCTCCACCATTGCCATCCAGATCAACTGAATCGGGTTAGCCTTGCCCAGGAGCGCTCCAGCTGAGATTAATACGGCAGTGACACTGATAGTGGCCTTTGCTACGCTTAGAAAAAAAGAAGGAAAAAGTTCATTGAGACTAATGGAAGCAGAGAAGAGTCCTTCACAGGCAGCACAGTTCCAGGCCTTCTCCTCACGCCTGAGACGCACTGCTCCATTTTACAGCGGGCTAAGCCTAGACCCAGAGGTTTAAGGGCCACCTTTTCAAAAGTGGCCTTCGATTTGGGGCGCCAGCATGAGATACTTTGGGACCAGTTTTCAAAAGCGCACACAACTCTGACTGACGTCAGCGGAACTGCAGGCGTGCAGCCCTACCGAACCCCACCGCACGGTGCAGCAAACTGAGCACCCCACCCCCGAGATGCCCTAAATCAGAAATCACCTTTGGAGATGTGGCCTTGGTGGCTCGCTGTCCACACTGCGCCGTAGCTCGACATAAGATACGCATTTCAAGCTACGCAAATTGCGTATCTTAATTCAGTCTTATTTTGCAATTGCTTATTTCGTCACTTCAAATGACCCACTAGTCCGAAACATCCCTGACTCCTAATGGAACGAGGTTACAAGGATGTCGGAATAGCGCGCCTGTTGTATTTCAAAATAACGGGCTGCTGTGAAGAGGCAGGATAGCTATTTCGGGATACTCTGATATCCCAAAATAGCCCTGCAGTGTAGATGTAGCCAGAGGGGGTTCATACCAGAGCCAGGCCTGGAGCTCTGGGCTTCTTGGCTCCCGATGCTGTGCCCCGACAAGTAGGTTACACCAGTCTCCTGCACAAGGGATCCACGGTCCTACCGTCCGCACCGCACGGTGCCCTTCTCTTTCGCCCTTCTCACAAGGCTGTCCACAAGCTTGTCCCCCGTGTGATGTGGCCTTGGTGGCTCGAAGGCTGTCCACAAGCTTGTCCCCCGTGTGATGTTTGCCAAGGAAGCAGGGGCACAGAATGACTTGGAGACACTGTAATTTATAGACCCCTTCTAGGCTGCACTTGACCTTCACGATATTCTGGAATTTCAATTAGTTGCTTCTCCTGACTCTTCCCATGAGAAAGAACATGCTGGAAATCCTACTCACTGTCCCTGCCAAGGTAAAGATTTGGTCTTGCTGCTGCTAAGCTGATCTGAGAGGGTATGGTTCTGTAGCTGCAGACGGCTTTCTTGTGCATGCAGCATACACAGCTGGGGCAGGAGAGGATTTTTATTTAGATTCTCTGGCTTGAGAGCTGTGGAGACCAGCCTCAGTCTATCGTCAGTTGCTTTCACATTGCGGGGCCAATGATTCTTAACCCTGACCCGGTGAGATCACCTGGAGGAGTAAAGGGACTTCAGTCTCTTCTCGGGGCCCTTGTCTCTTTGCTGGGTCTGCCATGGAAGTTGTGGTTTGTGAGGATGATTTTTGTAAATGTAAACTCCTCTAACGCTACCCCTAAGGCCACCTTCCTGCCTCACAGGGGTGTTGGGAGGGTAACGGCTCAGAGGCGCTCACATACAATGGTAAGGGGGCTGCAGAAGGAAAGTGACTAGATGGAGAGATGGCAAAATGCAGTTAAAACTACAGAGCTAATAATGACATAAAAAGTCCTGCCGTGTGACTGTGTTGCTGAGTAAATAGAACCAAAACCCAGGAAAAATTGCCCTTAGCCATAGAACTCGGATATGCTCCCTTAAGAACAAAGGATCCATTCCGGGAGGTAGAAGTTACCTGGGCAGGCTGATTTTCACTTTTCCTGATGGGGAACTAAACAGAAATCCTTCCATGAGCAAAGCCCACTGAATTCCAAGGGTGGCAATTAGCAGGTTGAATCCAGTGCTGCTAAATCCGTATCGTTTCAAGAAGGCCAGGAGGAAGCCAAATCCCAAAATCACCATGACGCTGACATCTTGAAATGCTGTGAGGCAGAGGGACCGAGAATCAGTCAAGTTATCAGTGCAGAGCAGACACAGCGCAACGTCACAGCAGACATCAACACACCTGCTGACAACCCTCAGCCATCCTGGCCGACAGGCAGGGTGGGGCGAGACCAGGCTGGACTGAAGCCTGGAGCAGAGACTACAATGCTAGCACAGGGTGGGGGGATATAAACTAATAACAGTGCATTTTCAGAACACTGTCAAGGGGCAAAGCCTTCTGTATTAATCCATACGGCCTCCACTAGGCATGGAAAATCCCGTTTATTTGCTTAACCAGTTAAACATTAAAATTAAAGGGGACATGGGTGGGAGGGCAGCTCCAGCCCTCCTGGACTGGAGCACCCCCTCTCCCACATCTGCTGAGGCTGGGCTGGAGTGCCCTCCCGTTTCCCCCACCATAGCCTGGGGCCAGCACAGTCTCTGCATGCACAGTGCCTGGGTCTGCCACGGACCGGGTCTGCTCCAGATGCCCCTGTGCCCCCACTGGTAAGTGGTAAGTGGGTGCCGGGTGACCTTTCACATCCCGAGCCTTCACCTGTGAGGGCGATCGTCTTCTCTTCCTTTTCCAGATGAGGACCTGAGGCCCTCGAAGGTTTAGTGTCCTGCCCTAGATCAGAAGAGCTGGGAATGGGAGCTGAGTCTAGACCAGTGGTGTGCAACCGTTTTTCAACCACAACCCCCATATTTTATTGTACTCGTGTTGTGATCCCCAAGGTAATTTGAGCAGCGCGGCGCTTAGCTCTGGGCAGCCGGGGGCTGGACCTGGCCGTCGGCAGCCCCACAGTGCAGCGCTTAGATCCAGGCGGCCGGGGCTTATGCCCACCGCTCTGGCAACCCCCCAGAAAGACACCCGCGACCTCCTTGGGGGTCGCAACCCCTGGGTTGCGCACCATGGTCTGGACGATGAGTTACTAGACTGAATTGGAGAGGTCTGGGTTTGTCACTACTCCTGGATTATCTCAGTGACCTACTGTGTGACCTATCTTAGGCTTGCACATCCCCACTCTGAGCCTCTGTTACTGCTTCCCCTCTCGTGGTCCCACTCTCGTGTATTTAGCGTGCCAGCTGCGGGTTACAAGCCTGGGAAGATGTTCATAAGCACAATGAGAGACAGAGGCAGGAATACGTTTACGAGAGCTCTGGTAATTGCTTTAAAATTGTCCCCTGCAGTCAGTCTGCACAAAGGACCCTGTTCTGTCTTCCGCAACCCCCGACCCAACCAGCAGGAGGGGCGCAGGAGTAACTGAGCCAGTTTGGGCCAAGATCTGTAAAGAGTCTCGTCTTGCTTCCTTTGCAAGCACTGACGCCCTCCTTTTCCAAGTGGCCCCCGCCCCATTTCACCCTCCCCGGAGGAGTGCTGCGGCCGAGATAATGCTCAACGAAGCAGAACTGGCCTCGACCACAGCTCTGCCTGCTAAGCAACATGTCTTCAGAACAGAGTTCCCTTATCAAGGCGCACGCAGAGTCTCTGCTCCCTGCTGATTTGAAACCCCACTTAGCGCACGCACCCAGCCCCACCCCCAGGTCTTGCCTGAAACATCTTACGCCTGTTCAAAGTGGCCACTGGCAGTGTGCAGACATGCTGTGCCCAGGGCTTGGGATATGCCAGTCAGAGTGCCTCTCCGAAAGAGCCCAACCCCCGGATGATTCTGCAGGGACTTACGCGAGTAGTTTCATCAAAGCCCGGGGAACGACGGCTGCTGCATCTGCCACATTCCTGTGGGCACTTGACAGCGTGGCCCCTACGCCGACGACCCTTCCCTGTGATTTTAGATGGGACGCAGAACGGGAGAAGCAAACAGCAGGAGAGGAAATAGAACTAGCGAGAGCTGCAGCCTTGCTGGCCCCAGCGTAGGAGAGAGTCAGTGGGGGTGAGGCAAGATCTTATTGGCCCAACTTCTGGGGATGAAAGAGAGGAGCGTTCGCATTGTCACCTCTGCTGGCAGTCCGATCCCCCCGCACGTGCCCTCCTGGGCAGCCAACACAAAACGTGGTCCCTTAACAAATCATCACTGTTCATGACTCACTGGGGGAGAAGGGAATGGGCAGGGCTGTGAGGGAGCAGAAGGGAGTGGTTTGGGGAAGTGCCTGGCCCACGGGGAGGAGGGATGAGAAGAGAAGGGTCACAGGCTGGACCCGCGGAAGAGTAGAAGGGGTCATCCTGTGTATAAATCTGTGTCCTAGGCCTGGTAGCCCCAGAGTATGTGCTGATGGGTCTATTCTGATGTCCATGTGCAGGGCTCTACCCTTCAAAGCAAGGATTAAAGCCAGTTATATGGCTGCACATTTGTGGCTTTTGAGTAATTCACATACAGATTATTAATTGAATCCAGTGCAGTGCACGAGAGTGGAAAAGTCACATTCCTTCTCCGTACTCTGGGTCATCCCATCTGTGTAACGGGAGGGAGGCCCCTACTAAGACGTATCGACCTTCCTTACAAGGATGTCATGAGGATGAATTGGTAAATATTTGTACAGCCCTGTAGACAGGTTACACCGTATCTATGTTTTATTACCATTGCTAGTATAGCTGTGTATTGAGAGAGTCTGTCTGTCTGTCCAAGAACTCCGCCAAAACGGTAAGAGCTAGGGCCCCCAAATTTGCTAGACAGCTTCTTCTCATCACAGTTTAAAGCCAGGCCAGGGTGTGGTTGTGCCAGGCCACTGGGATGTGCTGGGAATGGGATTGCTTCTCGTCCAAGCACACAGAAAAGAGAGAGAATCCCAGCCCCACGCCCCTCAGGCACCTTTTAGGGGGGGAGGGGATCACTCAAGTTCACTCCCCCCGAATGCTACAGGGACACTGCCGGCTGCCCCAAGCAGCTGTGGCAAAGGAGTGCAGGGGTTGTTGCCTCTCCTCGGGGCAGCCTGCACACTGACCCAGCCCCCACCCCAACCCAGAGCAATGATTGAAAAGAAGCCCCGACTTTTCATTTTATTTTCTAAAAAGAAAAATGAATTGAGTGAAGGCCCCAAACAACACCAGGTAAATGTTCTAGTATCTTCCATAAATGTAGAAAACACATTTCTCAGCTATAGGATTGCATACAGCACTGAAAATGCAATGCTTGCACGCAGAAACAACATTTGGGACCATCAGATAATCTCCAGGGGTATGTCTACACTACAAAGTTAATTCGAACTAACGGACGTTATTTTGAATTAACTTTGATAGGCGCTACACTAGCGCTCCGCTAGTTCAAACTTAATTCGAACTAGCAGAGCGCTTAGTTCAAACTAGGTAATCCTCATTCCACGAGGACTAAGCCTAGCTTGAACTTACTAGTTCCAATTAAGGGCTGTGTAGCCCCTTAATTCGAACTAGTGGGAAGCTAGCCCTCCCCAGCTTTCCCTGGTGGCCACTCTGGCCAACACCAGGGACACTCTATTGCCCCCCTCCCAGCCCCGGAGCCCTTAAAGGGGCACGGGCTGGCTACAGTGCCCGTGCCAAGTGCAAGCCTGCCAGCACCCAGCCAGCCTACCCTGTACCTGGCACGGATTGAGCCACCCACCCGATGCCCCCCACCCCTCTCCCTCTTCCAAGGACCAGG